ACGTATTACTCTGTGAAACGTGCTACAATATTATTCTCAGACTGTTCTCAGGAGCGTTCTGTTACACTATTCTGGCTATGTTCGAAATTCCTTAAGATGGTGACCTGAAAAATGCTTTGGAGAAGTAACTTAGTGGTAATTACAAAATACTCTAACGTTGATATGAATTATTGCCAAATAACCTTTGTGATAATAAAGTTGAATTTTTTTATTCTAAAATTTTATAAAATATCGAAAGTACCGAATATGTTTTGCTCAGTACGGAGCTCATCAGGCCGACAAAAAACACATTAGTGGTCGGAACACTATTTATCAAAGGCGTGCGGTCTATGGAAGCAAGGGAAGCAGTGCTTCCCCAATATATGTTAAAAACTAATTTTTAAGTATCAGCTAAATATGACGTTATGAACTTCCAATCGATTCATATGGAAGTACTCTACTATATCGTACATAATCAGTAATCACTTTGTACGGAAGAAGGCACTGTTGGGAATAATCTGGACTACAACTCGCAAAATGCTTCCTTTTTTCAGTTAATTTTATCTTTTTTCCTACTAGAAAAGGCTTCATTTCCAACTAAAACATTTTTGTTACATGATATATTCTTTGTTTGTTTGTTTGAATTTCACGCAAAACTACATGAGAGCTATCTGCGCTAGCCGTCCCTAATTTAGCAATGTAAGACTAGAGAGAAAGCAGCTAGTCATCACCACCCACAGCCAACTCTTGGGTTACTCTTTTACCAACGAATCGTAGGATTGACCGTCACATTGTAACGCCCCCACGGCTGAAAGGGTGAGCAAGTTTGGTGGGACGGGCATTCGAACCTGCGACCCTCAGATTGCGAGTCGAGCGACCTAACCACCTGGCCATGTCGGACCAACACGTACTTTAAACTATAAAATGCTTCTTACATGAAAATTTTTCTGAATAAAAATTCCAAATTCATAATTGTATTTAAAAAAACATATCTTGAATGTTATATTGGCCTCTTTTATGGCATAAAGGAAGCAATTACCAGTTCATCTTAGTTCAAAATACACGCAAAATTGGAACTTATTGACAATTTATAGTCTATATATTAAATTATTTAAATCACTAAAAAATGTAAGCGAAATTAAATAATTTATAAATAAGCTAGCGTTTCGTAATTACTATTTTATAAATTAAAATGTACAATAAACAAATCAAATATAATAAGAAAATAAATAATAATTTATAGCTAATTTTCTTGCGATATTTGGAAACTTTTGTTTTTTCATGACCTGCACCTCGCGCTCGTAGCTATTTGTTACCTCTATGTTGTCACGTGATGTGAAGGTGCTTCGGGCATTGTATTAAATAACACTGTTATTTTCTGTATGCATAAATTTTTTCGGAAGTGTGTCACTTTTAAGATTTGGATATGGATTAAAAGGATAATAGGAAAATTTTTAACTGTATTATTGAAAGCTTATTAGGAAACATGTTCCGTACAAAGAGTTTTAG